GCTCCCATTGCCTCACATGCAGCAGCCGGGTACACGGGTAGCCTCTCCTACTCAGGAAGATGCAAAACGATTGCCGTTGATGTTATTGGGGACCCTAACAGCGAAAATGCAACAGAGAGAGAGAGGCAGACCAAAGGAAGAGAGACTGGAGAAGATAAGGCATGAACTCTAGAGAAGACACTTACTCTCATCCCTCTGGTCCACCGCAGGCTTGAACACGTGTAACGAACGGCGACATCCGATGTGCGCTCGGCAACAACAAACACGACAAAAGAATAATAGTCGTCGTTTCCGAACTGCTGTGGAGATACTGTAAATTGGTGGAGACTTTCTTTCTTTTCTGGTATGAAGTGGCAACAAAGAAGAACACGACTATCTGTCTGTGTAGACTAGAAGCACGACGGACGAACTATTATCTCAATGCGCTTGCCGTCGCGATAGATGCGCACCGTTACGGCTATACGAACGAGCAGATTGTTGTCAAACCTAACTACGATAACCGTACGACCATTGCAGCACATTCCGACCATAACAGCAGAAACCGCAGCAGCAGCCGCATGTGTACAATGGTCACTCAAGAACAAACGCAAAAAAAAAACGAAATGTGGCGCGCAGCACGCAGGACCCTTTTTCGCTGTTCAACCGGCCGTTTCCATGGCGAAACGGGCACGGAACAGTCAAGGCCGACTCTTGCCGGCCACAGGAGGCGGAAGCCGCTCAAACTCGGGGACCGCTCATGACTTGCGATTCCACACCGAACCATACTCAAGGCGCCACGAGATTTGCACTGTAGCTCGAGATCAGCATTTGAGACCGGGTCGGGCAGGGGTGGGGCATGCGAATGAAACTTCCACGGATATTGAACGATGAGACTGAAGCTAAAGCTTCAAAATTCCCCAAGCCTTGGACGTGTCGGTGGGCATGGTACAATAGGATGTGGCGGTGTGTTGACAAGTGGAATGGACGGGGTGCGAGTAAAAAGTCCGGGGCCCATTCATGAACATGGCAAGCAAACACCCCTCCCAACAAAAATTAATGGTGGGCGGATGGCTGGGGGGCCCCAACAAACAAAGCATGAAAAAAGAAAAAAAATATCAAAGACAAGTGAGCCAGGCGCGACAGGCTTGAGGGAGGAGGTAAAATAATATAGAAAACCCACCGTGGTCGTCGCTCGCTCTGGGCCGCTGGAACATGTCACATAGCACTGCATGTCCAGCATTAGACCAAGTCCATTGCTTGACATAAAACAGGTAGCGCACATCGCCTCTCATGCAGCAGCCCCGTGCACGGGAAGTCTCTTACTCAGCAAGATGCGGAACCACTGCGGTTGACGTACTTCGATATCGTTGGGACCCCACCGGCGAAAGGCGAATGATAGACAGGTAGACTGAAAGAAGAGAGCGGAGAGAAGACAAGGCATTCACTCTCGAGAAGACACTCACTCACTCTCGTCCCTTTGGCCCACCGCAGGCTGTCAGACATCTGTACCGGACGGCGGTATCCGAAGCGGGCTCAGCAACAACAAACACAACAACCACAAGTCGCCGAGTTGGAACTAGACTAGAGTAGTGCGGACTTTCATCCTTCTGTGACGAAGTGAGAACAAAAAAACATGACTACACGGACGAACTAGTCCGTCCGCGATAGATGTGCACCGTTGCACAGAGCAGCAGACTGTTGGTTGTCATTCCTCACTTTCTGTTGTAAATAAGATTGTGCTGCCATCTACCTTATCGCTCAAGTTGCGACTGACTACGCAGCAGACTCAAAAAGCATCAACTCCCTTATTCGATGTATGCCACCCATGCATACGCCGCTTAGACTAATACGATGCATACCACCCATGCGTATGCAGCAAGAGAGAAAAAAGGCCTGTTGTTGTCTGTCTCAACTGTTGTGCTGCTGTTGCTTTTCATGTATAACGACACAACAGGCGACACAGTAAGCGACGCGCATCGCCTACTACGCGACGCGTGCACCCCAAAGCGACAGACACGATACATAGCCTTCAACCTTGTCTGAAGCTATTCAGCAACAGCAGCATGGTCACTCAGGAAGAAAAAAAGAACCTAAACCTAACGATTTTGGCGCGCACCACGCAGGACCCTCTTTCGCTGTTCAACCGGCCGTTTCCATGGCGAAACAGACAAGGAACAGTCAAGGCCGAGTCGTGTCGGCCACAGGAAGTGGAAGCTGCTGAAGATCGGGGAGGGGTCATAGTTTGCGATTGCCTACCGAACCATACTTGGGGCGCCACGACATTTGCACTGTAGCTCGAGATCAGCATTTGAGACCGGGTCGGGCAAGGGGTGGGGCATGCGAATAAAAGTTCCACCCACCCACGGATATTGAAATATGAGACTGAAGCTAAAGCTTCAGAAATAACCAACAGCTCGTTCGTGCAGCGGTGCGCATCTATGGCGGATGGCAAGCGTATTGCGATAATAGTTCGTCCGTGGTGCTATGTAGTCGTGCTCTTACTAGTTCTCGCTTCCTACAACAAGATAGTCCACAGCTCGCACACGGCGACTGACTTATTTGTTCGTTGCTGTTCTTGTTTGCTGTTGCTGAGGGCTATTTATTGTTATCGACCATTAAAACACGAAAAAAAAAACGAAACCGTTTTTTCTTGAACACATATGGAGGCGTTTTTGAACGAAAGCGTGAAAAGAAGGAGCCCGGTTTTTTTGGGGCTTGCTACTTACTAAAATTCGTGTTTTTGACGGAAGCATCGGACAAGCGCACCGCAGGCGCTGTAACATCACTGAGAACGCTAGAAAGACCTGCCAGACTCACGTCCAGGTCTGTTGTGGAGATGGACAAGCGGCAGAAGCGGCGTTCAGTCCGTTCTTGGTCCAAAACTAGACATTGCGTGGTGCTCTCGTCTTCAACTGCTGCTGCTGTTGGTGCTGGGGAATTGTTTTCGATCACACATAGCAAGCACGGAAACAGTAGAACGAGTACAGCAGCACCACCAAGACCTCCAAAGCGCTGATTCCTTCGGTTCGGCTGTCTATATGATACCATCTCCCGGCGCCGTGCTGCTTCGTGGGTATTGAGTGCTTGGGTGCTGCTCAATAAGGTGTGTGAGAGACGTGTGCCACCTCACCAAAATGCCGTTGGAAAAATTGCGGCGAGATGATCTGTTTTTGGTCGGACACATCAACATCAATCCACGGCGTCACGCAGCAGTAGAGCAACAGGGCCTCCAACACGCTAATTCTTTCGGATTGGCCATCTATATGATGCTGGCCGTCAGCGCGGCTGCCGCCCTATGATTGTTGAGCTCGTCTACCTTTGGGTAGGTGGTGGTCAAAGATGGGAGTCGCAACCGTGAAAAATGAGCTGGCAAACAAACTGAAGAAATCGCAAGCAACACCCAGGTTGCAACACTCTGCCGTGCGCCTGTTGTTGCTAAAAACTGAAAACAGCAGGCCGGGTGGACGGGATCTTTCTAAGTGTGTTGTCCTCTGTGCCGGGTGCTGCTTATTGCGCTTTTATCGCTGCTCTATGGTGAGCAATACCATGTCAACCTGTTGTGTGCCGAGCAAAGCGTGTATTCAGGGAAGGAAACGTGCTTTTTTTTATGACATCACGAAAAGAACAAGCAAAAAAAAGTCGGGTTTTCTTTCAACCGTTCCGTTTAAAAAAGAACGATTTCGACGTTGCGTTAACAATAACCCTGAGCCGACATCGGATATCGCCATTCGATACACAACGTGACATCATGTCTGACAGCCTGCGGTGGGCCAGAGGGACGAGAGTGAGTGTCTTCTCGAGAGAGTCAATGCCTTCTCTTCTCGAGAGAGTCAATGCCTTGTCTTCTCTCCGCTCTCTCCTTTTTGTCTACCTCTCTTTCTCTCTCTCTCGCCTTTCGCCGGTAGGGTCCCAACAACATCGAACGTCAACCAACCGCAGTCGTTTCGCTTTTTGCTACCCGTGCATCCGGCTGCTGCATGTGAAGCGATGGGCGTTATGCCAAGCATGGACTTGGGCCCTACCTAATATTTGCTGCATATGTAGTGCTATGTTAGAGTTTCCAGCGGTCCGGAGCGAGCGGCGACGGTGCTGTTCTTCTATGCGCTCTTTTGCCTCCTCCTTGAAGCCTGTCGTGTCTGGCTCGTTTGTTCTCGCTTCTTTCTTTCTTTTGTTTTTCATGCTTTGTTTTTTGGGGTCCCCCGGTTCCTGTGTGCTCATCGGGCGTCTTCTTGGTGTCTACCTTGATTGTTACCCGCTGCATAAATCGAAAGCTTCAGACAGGCAACGCGACGATACTCGTCGAGTTGCCATACACAATCAACAATAGGACATCGATAAGCATCATCGAGCTGCAGCGTACACGCACAACACTTACGTTCGAGGAGTGTCCTTGCCAACTGCCAGCATCTACAGTTGTAACACGAAAAAGACCTTGCCAACTGCCCGCATCATGTAAAAATGAAAAAGGTTGACCCCAGCAAACCGTAAACGTAAACCACACCTTTATTTCCACATCAATGCGCACACCTCATGAGTGTGTACATGTCAGAATCCAACCCCAATGAGCTCATTCGTCGAAAATCTGCGCTGAGTCGATCTCCAAAATGCTGTCTGAAACGTCTCCCACGCCAGCTACACAAGTATTTTGTGTTTCGGGCCAATGGTACCGTCGCTCACCCCGTTCTTTGGATTCTCCCCGCAGGTTTACCGTGTTTACGATCCAACGGCAACCTAGTCCAGTTGAGAAAATAGCTTCGCACCCTCTCGGTTACTTGTCTGCTTTCATCATACCCTAATCGCTCCCGAAAAACAAAATCACCACCTCTATTTTTAATTTTTGTTGTGCCTGCCTGCTACGGTCATGTGGTACCGAAAAGAGGACACGCGGTTCTTCAAGCGGTTGACTATACCCAACACCCACCAACCTCTATCCGTGTCATGATTGAAGGACAGCCGCACGCAGGGCGTCGCAAATAATCACACAAGCTACGTGAGTTCACTAAAGGCGGGCTCCAGACGCTCTAGAAGTCCTTCGCAGCTTCTTTGGCCACTTGTTTCACTTCTTCGATTGTGGATTTGATCTTCTTGAATCTTTTTAGGCCCTCGATATTGTCGACGAACTTGTCGGGAGCCACCTGAAGCCATGGTACCAGGAAATTCGCGAAAACAAGCACAGCAGTTGTTCTCGCTCCAGATGGAGGCAGGAAAAGAGAGATCGAAGCAAAAAAAGAACTAGTCTTGCCGTAGCTACACAACAACAGCGTCATCGAAAACGGCGACGTTAACCCCTTTAGGGCTGGATCGCCTTTTGGGGACACTTTTGTCTCCATCTTCTTCACCTGCTTTACCTCGCGAAGAATGATATGATTGTTTTCTCCTTTGCACTACTCGACCAGGGGGGCGCTAGTACACAGGGACGACTCTAGTCTGTAGTATGGATGCGTTCTAGAGTGAAGGAGTATGAGGGTAATGAAGAGGTCGAATCGCGGGGCGATTACGCCGCGGGTTCAACAGCGAAGTTGCGCCGCGTCTGTCTACCCTTGGGTGGAAAGCGCTACTAGGGCCAAGCGCGGAAGAAGTACCTAGCCTACCGTTGACAGGAGGCACCGAGCAACCTAGGGCTTGAGTTAAAAGGTCCCGCTTTCCCTCTAGAGAAATATCTTGAAAACCTCCTTTTCGTGCCCCGTTTACCACGCTCCCGCCAGTGACTGTCTATAATCCCTATCAATTATCGCCTCGATAATCGAGGGGACAATTGATAGGGATTATAGACAAGAGACGGCTCAAGTGGGAAGGCAGCTTTGCACTTGCACCCAGGGATGGAACTGTCTGCACCATCCAATCAGCAGGCGTTGTTCGCTCTTTTTCTTACATTTCAGAAATTTCGCAAGAACGCCGAATTTTCTGTGCGTTGTAAGGGAACCAGTCCGTTCAATACACCCAATGCATGCAAGAAACCAATCCGCCCTCAGTCCGATCCCACCTGCAGAATGAAGTTGCTGATAGCATCACGACACGTGCTCTTGGCCTTGTCGAAAGCCGGCACCTTCGAGTTGATCACATCCTGCTTGAGGTGTCGAATATACTCCGAGGTGCTGTGGTCGTCGACGCCGTCGATCAACTCTCCGCGGCACAACGCGCTGAGACTCCCGAGGATACGGTCGGCGAAACTCGACGTGCTGATGGTACCGCTGTCGAAAATAAGCGGGTGATGGAGGCAGCAAGACAGCGTACGATGTAGAATAAACGCGATGTATCGGCGATGGTCGTGCTTCCGCTGTGGCTTCTCGGAATACGCCTACCTTGAGTTGCGTCCGTCTTGCGGGAAATTAAGTTTCCCCTATACGAAAAATAATGGCAATCGAAAAAGCCGGACACATGATAAACATGTCTCTCGACTAGTGTCCAGGGAAAGTTTGTGTCGATCACCACAAGCAATACTGACCATTTCTTGGATGACGCGGATTTACAAGCCTGCATGTTCGTAGACGTTATCATCAGCCATTTCCTATAGCCTAAGCTTACGAACGCTTGCGCACAACAAGGAAATGATTCGAATGCCTTGTTTCTTTCAAAAGGACTCCTCACAATCGATCGAGGTAGATCTCCGTGCCGACGTGCTCGTAGCTTGGCGGGGGCGGAACCCGCGTGACGACGTCGTTGTTGTTCCTGCAACGGAAGTACTTGTCCTTCAGGGGAGTGCCGTCGTTCATCCTGGAGTCAAACCCAGCGGCGGCCGACGGGTCGAACAGCCTACCAAGACGAGTGAGCAAACGAGACAGAAAACGGAGCAAAACGGGCTTGTTAATGATCTTCCGAGGGATTGGACAGCAACGAGACCACGCATGAGAAAGAGAACGTGCATCTAAGCGACATTTGTATTTTGTCGGGTGGAATGCAAACCGCACGATTGGAAGTACACACGTCAAGTCCAAATCAGCTGTCACGCCATCGGTATGATGCCGTAGACGGCAGGGCGTGAGCGGAAGAAATCATGAACATATTCTCGCCTATTGTAGCCCCCGTGACGTTATACTGCGACAGACTTTTGCCTGAAAGCAAGCATGCTCGTTTGGGGTTGTGTTGAAGCGCAAACAAACAAAGAGGGAAAAAAATGGCCACGACCAACCTGCATGACTCTTAGCTCTTGGTACAACGTTCGTGTTGACGATCGGTCAATTACACCTCCGCTTGCCGTCTGAAAAATGTGAAGCCGATTTGCGCGCTTCGGCGCGCCTTGAGAGAGAAGGAGTGAAACGGTAGTCACACAGAAGCGTTGAACCCGTCCTTTTTGCTCGTTTATGTTATCTCACCTGGGGCTGCCGATGGTATATACCCCGGCGATGTCCATGTTGTCAACATACGACAGGCGAGCCGCGGTGACCGTGGCCAGAGCGGCTCCAAGAGAGTGCCCCGCGATGTACAGCTTGCGGTTCTTGCCCTTTTCGTTGTAGAGGTTTTTGATAACCTTGCGCATGTTTCCGTACTCCTCCCAAACCGAGTCCACACCGTCGTTGAAGCCCTTGTTGTTGACCAGGCAAAGCAGTGTGCCAAAAACGAATCGTGAGCGCTAAATTGGCAGTACGTTTGGATTCGTTCCCACTCCAACATCAAACGAAATCCAGTCGCGGAGGTATGCCGCGGAGGTTAATCCTCACCCGTTGACGAAGAGGGCACTCGTCACCTGTTCATCCGTTCGCTGCCCAAAGAACAAATCACTTGGTCGCGACAGGGGCATCCATCTGTTCATGGGCTGCACCTCGATTGCTTGCAGGTTCACGGGACGTTGCTGTTGCTGAGCCCTGTTGTTACTGTCCTTGCGCGTACATGTGTTAAAGACTACACGGGCGATGTATCACGCTGACTTGGACCACGGACATCTTCCGAGGTAACGGGAAAACCACCAGAAATCCGGGACTTTGAACGGTAGGCAAGACGCTCTCCACAAAACTTGCGGAACGTGAAAGATGTCCGGTTTCCACGCCGAAAACGACCAAACGGTACAACCCTCAACCTTCACCGTGTGATCCATAACGAATGCCGCTCATACTTCCATCAAAGGGTTCGCACTCCAATGTTCGGCAAAGCATATGGAACGAAATTTACAATGGCTTAAGTTGCTCCGATGTGAAATGCAGTGGGAGATTTCGCTGTCAAGGAACACACCTGTCGAAGCTAACGCACAACATACCTCGAGCACACCGTGCCTCGTGAACAACGCACAAAATAGAGTCGAGGTACCCCGCCATTGAAGGCCTGACCTTCGTAAGCTAACCTTAGCGTCGAAGACGCGACCTCCGTACCATATACAGCAACGTATATAGCAACGCCTCTGCTAAAGGGCACAAAGCATCGTCAACACACCTCGTGGACAGAGCCGACGGCGTCCGGGGCCTCCCACTGCTCCGCGCAGTCCCTCAGGATCATGTCAATGTTTGTCGCCCAGTCCGTGAGCTCCTTTGTGCCTCGGAACACGACCGCGATCATGTCGTCGTTCGCCGTGACAAAGGCCTCCGTGTCTTGGATTGCGTCGAAACTGCTTTTTTTCGCCGCCTCGCCCGCCTGGTGGACTCAACATCAAACATACCCCGCCCAATAGAGAAAAACAAATCGTTGTGCGTTGAAAAACGAAGAACATGTTTGTCGGGGTGGAGAGGGTGATATCTAGCATACAGTCTGCCCATCTGTGCATGTGTTGCGCAGGTACTGACACAAATGGTTTGTACTGGTGGACTCAACATCAAACATACCCCGCCCAATAGAGAAAAACAAATCGTTGTGCGTTGAAAAACGAAGAACATGTTTGTCGGGGTGGAGAGGGTGATATCTAGCATACAGTCTGAAACATGCCGGTGACAGCTTTGCTGATCGGAGAAACTCCTTGACTCCCTCAGCACGCCTGAAATTCACTTCACCGTGTCGTCAGCAGCCTGAGTTGCAATTTCGTTTCATCGTAAGCTCAACGGACCGTCGTTTGATGAGCTCCTCTTCGCACTACGCAACCTCTCCATAAAGACATTGCTACGGAGTATAACATTACTTTCGACGCCTGTTGCATGCTGAAAACGTACATCGAACCAATGGAATCGATCAAACCCCAGCCCATCGTTGGTGGAGTTGCCCTTCACGAGCCCCTTCGCCTCCTGCTCCGGCTTGTAGGCGATCTGGCACAGGCTCGCGAAGTAAAAGGCGTTCTGGGTCGAGAATTTCGCAGTGTTCAAGTCTGGCTTCATCTCCACCTGTCGTCAAACATCGCCCGATGGGGGTTAGCGGAAGGGAAATTCTGCGGCAGGACTACTCGGGACATAGGTTCATGAATCAAGGTGCATGGCCTCGGTACCAGGTGTTGTGTGTTGGGCCTTTTTTTCATGACGACAGTTATCCCGTTGTTCGTTGTGAGACGTGTACTACACGTGTTTCAGTGAATGCAGAGTTCTACACTTTTCAAGCATGCAGAGTTCTACACTTTTCAATGTACTTTTGAGTACAACTACAACCATCCAGGGTCACACAGGAGGGGTTAAACTCTTGGAATTCTTCTTGTGTATTTATTATCTTTCCCCACGATCCTCCTGCGGTGCGTGCTGAATTTTATTTATTCTTCGCGGGGAAGCGTCCAGCCACCCCTTTCCCTCGTCAACTGTGCTAACGTCGAATTTTGGTGCTCACGAGCTTTTCAGATTTTTGGCGTTCGCCCGCAAATTTGTAATTTTTTCACCCCGTGGGGATTCGAACTCATGACCTCACCACCAGCGGTGTCGAGGTTACCGCTAGACCATCGGGGCGACCAGGTGGGAATAAGAAATACATACGCCGTTTTGAGCCGATGACCGCGACGTCGTGGTAGCAGAGGGCTGGGCTTGAAGGTCACCTCTACGTCACCATCGCGCCAGTGACAGACGAGGGGGTGAGTGGCGACAAACTATGACACGTCGCTTGTACAAACCGTACTCCTGCTTTTCGTGAGCTTCCGGAAGTGCTTCTAGAACACACGCCTCAACCACAACAATCAAGCGGTGAATATCGCAAGGGAGTTATAGCGCCACTCCCGAGGAGAACGCCAGCTCCATCGCCGATTATTTTCTGCAACAGGTTGGGTGATACGATGGGGAAACGCTGCTTAGGGCCGTTTTAATCGATGTCCAAAAATCCAAATTTTGTACAAATCTCCAAAAAAGCTCCAAAAATTTGGAACCCACCGCTCCAAATTTTTGACATAAATTTGGAACGAAGTCGGGCCCGAAAATTTGGAGCCACTAGCTTCCAAATTTTGGAAGCCTTTTTGGAGCACTTTCCAAATCACCCTTACAGACGCACGCGCGGGCTGCGACGGCTGCAACACGAGTGCCCCTCACCAGCGACGTCTACAACACGAGTGCCCCTTACCATAGGAAGCCAGCTAGGGTTGTGTTTGGGGCATGGGCGACCATAGAAAGCGCGGCGCGGCTACAGAATGTAGTGGCTCCCTTCGCCCACGGGCACGCGCTCGGCCAACACACACCCGGGATGTCCTCGACAAGCTCAAAGCAATAGCGGCGATTGTGCTGGTGCTGACTGTCGCCACATCGACTGTCGTTCAGCGCCTAACACCCAAGACGCGGCAACGTATCCACGAGCCGTGACGGCTGGTTTGGGACGAGCACTTAGAAGATGTGAGGCGCAGGAAGCTGTTCCGACGCATGTACAGGATGGAGGAGCACAGCTTCGACAAGCTCGCGGAACTTTTACGACCCATCCTCGAGCGCAACGACTTCTACGCAAGTAAGAGATATACCCACACAGGGTGCGTCCGCGCGTGAGGAAGAGCGAGTAGGGTTAGGTTTCGTCAGGGTTGTCTTGCCGTCGCGAACACAGCCGCCGGTTTGCACTTGTATTTGCTGCTCACCGCTGATGTCCGAAAGATGAATTGGCACCGCCAGGGACATCAGCAGCGCAGGAGACGCCTTGGAGATGGCATGTGCGCTGATGTCCGTCCGGCGATGCGCCTGACAAGTGCTTGGGCTTCGAATTTACCGGTACATCCATGCTTGTATTCTTGTTGGTCGCGTGGTGCAGGGTTGCGCGCGAGCAGTGGAGCTGTGCCGGTGAAAATTCGGCTGGCAGTTGCGCTGTGCATGTTCGAGGGGCGTCATACATCGATGTCGGCTTGCTGTTCGGCATTTCGAAGGAGTCCGTCTTCCACATCATGTGGCAAGTGGTGGACGCCATCAACAACACGCCGACGGTGGGGCCGTTCTTTTTTCCCCAGACACCAGAGGAGTGCTCCCGGTAAGTAAGCGAAGGAGTGGGAGGTCGGTGCATGTTTGTTTGTATCATAGGTGTTGTACTTTAGTCGAACATCGTATGTGGTCTCCCATGCACTTCTACTATTGCGGGAAGGGGATCTCTGGCATTTTCCCCTGCATCCCTTCACTCAGCAACATGGAAGCGAACGTGTTGTGGAGTCCAAGAACGACTCTTACAGAGTGGGCGCCTGTGTGTTGCATGACATTTCGTAAATACCCAGTCCTACACTCAAAATTCCGGACAACAGCACGCAAAATTCAACAGGTTACTACTGCCTACCTCCGGCCCCGTACGGCGGTAGACTAGTGCTGTAGATTTTTTTCTCGCAATAGGTTGACATCAGACCCATAAACGTGGTCAAAACGCGCGCGTCCACCCTTACGTTGGGAAGGTCAGCAACATTTTGTTGCATGCGGGAGGCGCTATCGCCCCCGAACCTTCATTTCGCCCGCCGATAAGGTAGTAAGCTACACCACGGCTGTACGAACCGTCGGCCACGCTCTGATGTACTGTTGTGTGTTTAAGGGCGTCTGTCCTCACACTCCTACGAAAAGATTGTCACGTGTGTATGTCGACTCGGGTCATACAAGAGGGTAATGTGGAATAGCTTTGTTGTTGGAAAACGTACCTGCAAAGTAGGCTCGTGCGTTGCTAGAAAATGCTCGTTTATACCACACCAACCAGAGAAGCGCCGTGTGATTTCCAGAGAAGGGGTGTGTGTGTGATCATCAGCTACATACATCGCAGCCCAAGAAAAAACTTTCTCTGTTTGTTCTTCTCTCTGGTTGGAGCTTTGATCTATGCACTGTAGACAACTCCAAAGCGTGTGATTTGTGGTCAGACTAGCACACGGAAGGGACAGGCGGCACCCCAGGCCCTCGCACAAAAGTATGGAGAGGTTTACACATTGATCATCAATAGTGGTGTCTAGCCGCGTGTTGGTGTGCATCTTGTCCTCTCCCGCTTATGACGAAAACGCTGCCGCTCGCGAAACGCACAACACAACCAACGCTTCTTCTCGTCTCCTCTCGCTTCCTCCGCCGATAGCAAACAGCTGTAGAGTACAGGGCACACCCTCCCGCCTTGCTCTTCCGGTGGTGTGTGTGTGTCTCCCGCCCCCCATGTCCATCAGCCCTGTCTCTCTGTAGCGTGTGTGTTTTGGCACAGGAGCAGCAGCTGCTGCTGAGCACACCGACCGGCGGAACAAAAAAAAATCACGCCTGCCTGTGATTTTGGGCGAGGACGCTTGGTTCTCTACTTCAATTTCGCCGCAGATGCTGTGCTAGCTCGATGCACCGAGCACGGATTGAGCTGGAAGCAGTTGTGACAGCTCGGGCAAAATTCTACTTTTTGTGCACCAATCTTGAATTGCAATTTTGTGCCTAGATGGCGCAATGGACTCGAGTCTCCTGTCTGTGTATTTATCGGCACACAGACACGGCCGGACACACTCGCTACGAACTGGCCCCCCTGTGCACGATTTTTTGCTTTTTCACGTACGTACATGCACATCACGATCCCTCTAAACAGCTTTTTCTTGCAAAAAAAACAAACAATTGGGCCGCTCTTCATCAAAAATGCTATAACAACAGCAAAAAGCTACAGTACATCTCTCTAACTGTGGCTCGTTGTTCTCTACCCCCCCCGGGGCCCCCCCCCCCCCCCCCCCCCCACCGCATGCGTGTTCTACACCGCTTCGCCAACTCTTGCTCTTTCCGAAATCGCCAGGCCAAAAGCACTGGTGGCGCGTTCGCTGGTTGTGTGGCTGCTGGAGATGGCCTTTTGGTCAAGATGCAAGCTCCACCTCCCACGCAAACCCCGAATGTGCTCTCCTATTATTCGAGTAGCAAGAACGCGTATGGGTTGAATGTGCAGGCGACCTGTGATGCCAACTACCGCTTCCACAGCATGTCGACCATCGCAGCCGGTTCGACCAATGACTGGACTGCGTGGAATCGCTCGGAGCTATCACACACCGTGGCGCGCCTGCCGCCTGGCTTCTATATGCTAGGAGGTGCGGCGTACCCCCTCAACAACCAACTCCTCACGCCGTACCCCGGGAAGCTACTACTCCAGACCAGGACGCCTTCAACTTCTACCTCAGTCAACTGAGGGTGAAGATAGAGCAAGCTTTCGGCATCCTCGTTGGACAGTGGGGTATTGTGTGGAGGCCGTTGCGGGTCCAGTTCCCTGGGCGCAGTACCCTCATCACTGCACTTTTCCGTCTGACAACTTCCTGTGCGACGAGAAAGTGAAGCCTGTCAACCCGTCAGAGGAGGACGGGGAATCCGGACGTGACCGGCCCCAGCTGACGGAAAAGGGCACGCTCCCGGCAGGGTTCCGGACGACCTCCAAGGCCGCGCCGACGAGGTCGGGCGACGCCGCCACCCGTATGGCGCTGCGAATGATGCTGGACAACAAGCGACAGTACCGCCCGCTGTTCAACCTGGAGCGGAACACGGGGCAGAACAAGGGACAGGCTTGATAAAGGGCTGGGAAGCGATCGACAATGGGCTGGCCGCGACCGTGGAGGGCCTGGCTTAGCCTTTGTGCTTGGAGCGTGGAGGGTTTGGAGCTCGCAGGGGTGGGGGGGGGAGAGAAGGGGTGTGGGAGGACGTGAGGATGGGGAAGGGGCTGTGCGGACTGGACTCGATCGGCAATGAGCTGGCCGCGACCGTGGAGGGCCTGGCTTAGCCTTTGTGCTTGGAGCGTGGAGGGTTTGGAGCTCGCAGGGGTGGGGGAGGGAGAGAAGGGGCGTGGGAGGACGTGAGGATGGGGGAGGGGCTGTGCGGACTGGACTCGATCGGCAATGA